ATATTGAGAAATAATCTGAGGTTTGAAGTGAAAAAGTAATACCGTTTTTGAATAGCTGTGAATTCATGTAGAGAAGAGCTTTCGATATGAATGAGTATTCATTAGAAAGCTTTAGTGTGCACTTTCATTTTACTCTAACAACGAAGTTCCAGCTTATTATGAAAATAACGAGATATTTTAAAAAAAAACTTCATGTGACACGAATTTCGAATTTATTTTCACATATAGATCAAATTGATGTGACATGTCCTGTGACTAATAAAGAGAGTTTCGGCCGGAAACCTTAATCTGGTTAGGGTAGATGCCAATGCCCTGGTTTAAAAGAATCACCACCACCATCACCACCTAGCTTCTATGATAGTTCGGACAGTTTTGATAACAATACAGACTCAGGTTCTAATTATGAAGACTCTAATATCTGATGTGAGTTCTGAGTAGGGTAACATATAAATTAAAATTAGAATTTAACCGAAGATCACAAGTATGAAAATTTCATCTTTCATATATTAATATATCGAAAAAAATTATCGTCATGAAATAAATGAAATAATAACATTAGCATGGATATTGATGAGAAATATTACAAACTTCCACTATGCTCAAATTAATACATAATATTTAATATCAATCCTTTCATGTTTCGTAATTCAAAAATTGGTCATAAGGCAAAAAAACCGATTTCTTGCTCCCTTCCTTGTATGATTAAAATTGTTTAATTGGACCTCGGATAAGAGAACCATCTGTACGAAGAAAACCTTGTTAAAAAAGGTCCATTTTGGGAAAGAACGAGGCCGTTTTCGGCCCAAAGGTGTCAAATATCAATTTATTTAATACCAATTATAATTATTCGAGGTCGTTATTTTAATAAATTGTAAAATCATTTTATTTAAGATTTATTAAAAAAATCATCAAACAAACTATTTTCCAAATTTATCAGGAACGCCTTTAGCAGGAGATTGATCAGGGTCATTCAAATAAACACAACCTTTACCATACCAAGTATATTGATGATTGATTAATTCTTGAATTTTAAAATAAGCCTCCATATTTGCATATGGTATGCCAGATCTTGGATCTTTATATTTTGCTGGAAGTCCTGTAATTGGACAGATTATCTTTTTTGCTTCTAAAAAAAGAAAATGTCTACTATTGTTAGGGTTGGTGTACAAAAAAATTTAATAAAATTAATGAATAAGAATAAATTGGTAAATTAAATAGATGAATTACTTTGAGTTTTTTTTCTCCAATCTCGAAATAATTCAAATTCTTGAGAATGTGAAAGATTTTTAAAAATAACTACTTTTTTAAATATTCGATTGTCTTGAATCGGTTGTTTATTGTCAATTGTGTCACCACTACTGCTGCTATTATTTTTGTCATCATCACCATCATCATCATCCAAAATAACAATATTGTTATCAATAACACTGCTACTATTTATTAATTCTTTATTATTATTATTATTATTATTATTTGAAACTTCTATTATCAATTTTGGAGATGATGATGGTTTTTGTAAACTATCATCACCATCACCATCATCATCGTCGTCGTCATTATGATTTATTTCTTTTATAAAAGAATATTCAATGACCCTTGGTTGAGTTCAGGTGGAGAGTACTTTCAGGATCTCTTAAATTTTTAAAATTTATTTTATTTTATATTTTAATATTTTCATAAAATACTTACTGATTTAAAATAATGGTAGCAATAGTGTAAGTAGGTAGTAGTATCAAAATGTATATAATTAATAAAAATATTTGAAATTGTAAGAATTGAGAAATGTCAATTAATATACATATATTATTAAAGTATTAAATTCCCGATTATGTTTTTATTATTTTGATAAAATGGTAAGGTCCTCTCCAGTCATTGATTAAGACACTTAAAGAATCCCTGTTGTAAAAATCAACATCTTGGATAAAATGTATATCTTCTAAACATCTTGGTAATGTCTGATTCAAAGTTGTTATTATTTTATCACCATTAAATATATATTTCCAATGGGGTGCTTTTAATTTAATGTATTTTAACTTATCACAATTTTTGAATATTTCTAATAACCATTTATCTAACTCATTATTGTAAAAGATGGATAACTTTTCAAGATTTTGACAATGTTGACTAATTGATTGAAATAATTCTCCTAAACAATCTTTATCTTTTGGATCACCATTAATATGCAAAGTTTTTAAATTCTTTCCATTGACTTTAATAAAATCTGACATGTTTGATAGAAATGGCTGATAAGTGATATATAAATCTACTGTTTCAATATTTGGAAATGAAATAGATTTGATAGATTCCAAGACTTCTATTTTGTATTCAGATAATTTTAATTTTAAAATCTTTAAATTGCGAAATGTTCCTATTAAAGAATCCAAATCAGTTTCTCCTCGACCTTCATAATAGACTATTGATTGTGAATGGATTGATAAGACTTCTTTTAAATTGTTTGATAAAATTGGATTATTATAGCCACCATGTAGGATTAATTTTTTGATTCGCTTTTGAGCTTTAATTAATTGTGCTAATCTATAACTGGATTTCTCATTAAATGAACGGAAATATATTCTTAAAGTTTGAATATTTTTACAAGTATTAGCTAATCTATAGAAAAATTCAGATTTATTTGAAAGATCACAGGTTAATTCACCAAGTTTCTGGAACCACATATCAAATCCATGATGGTTAACCAACCAATTGCAATTATTTTCAAAGATTGCAAATTCTCTAATGGTTGAATATTCTAAAACAAATTCTAGTAATCTTTTTCTTAAACATTGGTTTGTGTCTACTATCTCATCTAATGCATCGTTAAAATCTTGGTCAAAATCCAAGTAAGTAGCAAACATACCATAATTGTGCATTGGTGGTTTATCCAGTAATAAACTAAGAGGTAATTCAATGCAGTTTCCTCTGAAAAAATCCTTATCTTGTGCAAGTAAACAATTAATTAATATTTTGATGCTACCTTTACAATAAAATGGTTCTTTCCATAATTTTGGAATGCTAATGTAGTGCCATTGTTTATTAACTAAAGCACAAGAATATAACGTCCCATGATCACCTTCAATGCACTTGGATATTTCATTCAAAAGCTCAAATGGTAAAGTTGCTGGTAACATTTTTCTTTTTTTTAAGAAATTAATGCTCAAGTGAAGAATTATATACTTCAATTTAAATTAATTACATTATTATGAATAAATTCACGACCAATTATTTCATAATTACATTTACATTATTTTTTAATTATGTAATAGTGAATCAAAAACTAACCTAATTATTATACCCTTATTTCATCAGTGTCACAATATTTGCTATAATAATACTGATCATCAAAGTTTAATATAAAAATGAATCATAGTTAATTGATCGGCCATGCGGACAACTTCCGAAAGGTTACACCTTTATCCCTCAGTTCGTAGGGATAGAGCCTCAGCCTGGGAAAACATATAAGAGGATGTCCCCCCTTATCAATCTTATCGATCTTTGGGTATCGGTCGGATAATTCACTCAAGATCTATGGACCAGGTGATCAGAGA